TTTCCCTGTATCCATTTGTTGTAGACTTTTGTCTACCCTGCTGTTACTGGTTGAATGAAATGTTGTTTCATTTATACCCAAACAGTCATAGCAGTAGCGCTGGTCAAATGTTTTTCAGTCGTCTTTGTACTTACCTGATGTGGATACTCTGTATACTTTGTCAGGATACCGTAGCAGAGTTCTCTGAATATGGTTGGCAAGGTAAATACTAAACACTACAAGCATATTCTTTCATTGCCAGATGTATTTGCACATTTGTCTTTTGCTTTATTTACATTTGTGTCAACTTTGCAAGCTCAGACAGTACTAGACAGTACTTTATAGCGCACTTAGTTTCTCGCACATTCTTGTCTCACATTACATCTCCATATGATAACGTTATATGTTATTTGTGGAAACTCTGACATTCAGTAGCCTTTTGTGATCTGGTTTAAACAGGCATGCTGAGTAAGAGACTACACTGCCCAAACCCTGTTACGTTCTCTCGCACCTTAGTTCTCAGCTCTTCTGTGGTGTATACCTGATCAATCAACTCTGGCACCAGACCTCCAGAAAAATGTAGAAAACCTTCTAAGGTAACCTGCATATTTCCTTTTCCTCTCCGTATAAATTTCCACTTAAAGCTGGAGTTAGATCAAATTAATCTGTTGTTTTCTTCCCTTCCTTTTATCTTTTGTCTGTCACAGACAAATTCTCAGCTATGATGCTTAGCTAGAATGAGGTATGTTGGCTCTGAGAGTTTAACTGTTGCAGGTGATTGCAAACAGGCTAGAATGAGGTATGTTTAACTGTTGCAGGTGATTGCAAACAGCCATGTAGTTCAGATCAGTATTATCCAGGCAAACAATCAGTACACAAAACAAGTAGTTTGACAATGTCCATCAAACACATATGTGGACTCGATGAAAGAAAATGTGAAATACTTAAAGCAGTGGCATGACTGAACAGGAAATGTCAAACAAAACATGGTTTTTTCAGTTGGGCCCCTCTTTCTGGGCAAAAGTGACATTTCCTTGACTTGTGAGGAAAACTGCACGTCAGTTGATACAGATACATTGTATAAATCTGCTTATTCAATGCACTGAATTATGAATAATGCCATTAGGCATTTGATGTACTATATTTTTTGTTTCCTCATGCCTAAACCAAGAGTTTGCGAATCTGGGAAGAACTTTGTTCGTAAGAACTGGCACATTTTTTGTTAGTTTTTTGCTTGATTGACTGCATGTTGGAATGATTGTATCCTATTGTATCCCATTTTAAGTTAATTTGGATTTCTCTGTCTTGTGTGCTTAATTTGGATTTTTTTACAATATTATGGAAAGTACACTGTGATGAGCTATATATCCTTAAAATGTCACCATCACCATCCTCTTACTCCCTTGTATTGTATTGTCAGCTTGAAGCTTTTATGAATCGATGCCTCCTCCAGACTGTCCTTTGATGTGAACTGAATGGAACCAAACTTGCATGCTCTTGTGATGTTTATTGAGGTCAACACAGCCCTACCACTCCTTGTTAAACCTATTCTTGCAAACTGGAGGGTCATAGAAATAGAGTCCTTGGGATGCTGCTGACATCCTTTTTTTCAGCTCACCTCTATTTCCCTATGTCAGTACACTTTAAGAGCACAGGTGGTTAATGAATGTAGCTGTGGACCCATTTTAATCCATTTTTTTTGCTGTGGGATCTATAACTGAGGGATAGACTGGGCTGAGAAACAATGTTTTCTTAGTACAAGTTGTGGAATTCACACCAAAACAAGTGACTAACCAATATTCCTATTCTCGGGTTATCAGAGGCCTACAGTTACCTCTTAAGATTTATTGAAACATGGACTGTGTTGTCAGCACCTCGCATATATTCACTGACGTACCTTCTTAATTATCACATCAACAATCAAGGCTTACTAAGGAATACTGAGTAACTGTACACTTCTGCATTGGAGAGAACAGATTATAGTGCATGATGGGAGCAGCACGTGTGAAACACCGCTTCAGTGCTGTAGTGGATGGGCCAGTAGAGGACGAGGAGGTCATGAGGCTGGCACAGAGTGCTGCAGATACAGCTAGAGCAGGGAGGAGCCCAGTGGGGTCAGGAACCCCAAACAACCTCTCGCCAACTCATGCCCTCAACGGAAAAGCTCTACCTCTTCAGAGCTACACCATCAATGCACAGAGGCAGAGTGCCATTGGACAGTCAGCTAGGAGAGACATAGAAGGAGAAGGTGGCGTTAGAGCAGGAGGAAAATGCTCAGGCCAAAGGAGTGGACGAGGCAGTAATGTAGGAGGAAGAGGGAAAGGCCATTCACCTTCGGACCAGGATTCTATCTCTTCCCCCTCGACTACCAGCCGCCGACACACCAGGCACTCAAGCCGCCGGCCCCGACAGCGCTTTGTGGGCAAGGATGGACGCTGCAACGTCACCTTTGTCAACATGAGCGAGAGGGGACAGCGGTACCTCAGCGACCTCTTCACGACCTGTGTGGATGTCCGCTGGCGCTGGATGCTGGTCATTTTCACCCTGTCCTTCATTCTTTCCTGGCTGCTCTTTGGATTTGCCTTCTGGCTCATTGCCTCTGCGCATGGAGACCTCTCCATTCGGCTTAACCCAAGCTCAGGTTCCTCTCTGGGATCGGGAGAGACTGAGTTTGGAGGAGAGTCTGATAGAGAGGCAGCTGTTGAGGAGCCATGCTTCCAACAGGTGAACAGCTTCATGGCAGCCTTTCTATTCTCCTTGGAGACACAGACATCCATCGGTTACGGATTCAGAAGCGTGACCGAAGAATGTCCCCTGGCGGTGGTGGCGGTCGTTTTGCAGTGCATTTTGGGCTGCATTATTGACGCCTTCATCATCGGGGCAGTTATGGCAAAAATTGCTAAGCCCAAGAAGCGCAATGAAACACTTGTGTTCTCTGAAACAGCTGTTGTGGCACTAAGGGATGGGAAACTCTGCATGATGTGGAGGGTTGGAAACCTACGCAAGAGCCACCTTGTAGAGGCACATGTTAGAGCACAGCTACTGAAGGTAAGTGGAGTGAAGTTGTGTAATAATGAACAAAGGTCAAAGTATGGCAGTGTTTAGAAATTATTAGAAAGTCTTCACAGGGAGTGATTTGGTAAGGTTAAACCTGCCAGGGACAAGTGAAAAAAAGTGCCCAAAAATAAAGGTTGCTACTTTGAGAGATAACAGTAAGATAAAGAGAGAGCAGTAGATGGAAAGGAAGAGCACTGAGACCATCTGGCCTGTATTCTCTGGATCGTAGTTAATAAGAGCTTGTTTTATTTTCCCTCAGGGATTTAGGAAGATTTACCATGGATTAATTCAAGCACAGTTCTTTAGCTGAGAACCACTGTCCTTCATCATCTCATTTTCCGTTGTGGTACTGTATTTGTGTGGTTTAGGTGATTGTACACTGTGTGAGGCAGTTTAAAACAAGTGTCCTTTCCCCCTTTTTCCTTAGACAATGTGATTTCTTTTAATAACAAGACCATATCAAAGTTCAGACAGGGCAGATGCGATTAAATTTAAAAAGAACTACAATTGCAAATGCTTAAAGGTATGACAAATAACCAAATACTGAGCTTTGGGTTTGGGTAAGACATGTTTTCCAGATGATACTGGGAAAAGGGGTCAAGTGGATTTTTAAATTATCCCCTTGAGCATGGGTTGTAAGGTGACAGAATAATTTCCTCTGTACCATGGTGTTATAGTCATGTTCTGCCTGCCTATGGCTTCTGTTTGTTGCATATTGGAAATAATTTCCCATCTCATTTTATGTGAAAATCAGTTTTGCAGCAACCAATGTGGAAAGTTTTATGTACCAAACTGTGGCCCTGTTTTACTCTATTCCCAACCTGCTCTCAGCCAAGAGTAACACCAGAAGGAGAGTTCCTACCACTGGACAACATGGACATCAACGTAGGCTTCGACACTGGCACTGACCGCATCTTCTTGGTCTCGCCTATAACAATTGTTCATGAGATCAACGACGAGTCGCCCTTCTATGAAATGGACCAAAAGACCCTAGAGAATGACTCTGAGTTGGAAGTGGTGGTCATACTTGAGGGCATGGTGGAGGCCACAGCCATGACCACACAGTGCCGGAGCTCTTACCTGGCTTCTGAAATCCTCTGGGGGCATTGCTTTGAACCAGTGCTCTTTGAGAGGAAGGACTGTTATCAGGTGAGAAAGGAAGGTTGGAGAGATATGCTGGTAGAATCATCCCTTCCCTTAGTGCTAAGTCTCAAAGTGGTATTCAATACTTCACTATAGTTTGGATAGCTGTATCTAATAAGTGTTAACTGTATTTGGAATGTGGCTTTAAAGATGGCAAGACAGTTGGTGAGTTGAACATTTTGATCCAAAATGAAATATCTCAACACCAATGCTATTCGATTTTCTACAGACATTCATCAGAGGATGAATCTTAATGGGTTTGGTGATCCCCTGACTTGTCATTTAGCTCCAAAATCAGGTCAAAATTTTGACATTCGGTGGAATATTTCAGCATCCACTGAATGGATTAGGACAAAATCATTTACAGATTTAAATGGTTCCCAGACAGTGTATCCTAATGACTTTGGTGATTCCCAAACTTGTCATCTAGTGCCATCAACAGGTCAGATATATAATATGTACATTATGACCAAACAGCTGCAATATTGACATTCCTTTCAGCCTCAGTTTAGTGTACTTTATGTTTAGTGCTACAGTAATGTATAGATGCTAACACAATATTCACCTGCTAAACATCAGTATGCTAGTGTTGTCATTGAGACCATGTTAGCATGATGATATTAGCATTTCACTCAGAGTGCAGCTGTACCCAAATGCAACCTAACAGCCACACTAGCTTGGCTGTAGACCTTTTGCTGTTGGGCTTCTAACCATACAAATAAAACATGTCTTGAAAAATTCTTCTGTTCTGCCCTCTTCCTAGGTGGACTACTCTTTCTTCCATCGGACATATGCAATCCCTAACACACCCTCTTACAGTGCTAAAGAACTGGCTGAGCAGAAGTACATGGAAAGTTCACATACTTCATTCTGCTATGAAAATGAAGTGGCTCTGCAACTTGCCTTCCCTGATAATGACCCTGACTAAGACCCTGAATGTCCTGACCCAAAGGCCACCCCTGGCAGAACACCTCCATTATGGTTGAACTTGGGAGATGGGAGGCCTCAAGGGAAAAGAGACAGGAATTTGAACCAACCAGGAGTTTAAAAGAAGTACAGATAAAGAGAGAGCGTTAGACAAGTAGAAGTGGGTAGACTGTGAGAGGCAAGCTTAGAACTAGATAGGACCGTGAGTTTGCCAGTAAACGATTGGAAGCTGAATTGTTTACAGGGATTAGATATGAAACAAAGAATAAAAGCAGGTTAAGAAATCAATTACATTTTTTTTAAGTTTGAGATTTAGATGACTACTGTAACAAGATTTTACAGAGAAATAGAATAGAAATAAACTAGAATGGGAGGTTTGAGGTTAGTTTTTTGGGGAGATGAGTTATCACAGTGACAGAGTTGTCTGATTGCTTCTGGCAATCTGAGAGTAATTGAATACCTATCTCCTAAGTCTCACATCTGGCCCATCACTACCACTGCACAATCATCTTGTTCTACTGCTCGACTGGCAGGATATGGAACAGCACCCTATGGTGGCTCTAACCTGCAAGTGCACCTCATTTTTTTCTCATCTTGGAGAAAATATGGACCTCTATTTGAGGCAGTTTCTGTATGCAATGAATAGTGTACTTACTATTCAGGAATGTATTAGTCAGAGATGGTGACATCACTTAAAAAAAATTTTAAAC